TGCAGGTTTGGGGTCCCACACGGACACACTCCCACACGCACACCGGGTGAGCTGTGGGCTCGGGGGGACGCAGGGGGCACTGGGACGGGGACGGAGTTACTGAGGGGTGCACAGATATAAGCAAAAGTCAGTTACTATTTCAACACGGTATCAGGAGACGTGACTCATGGCCGGAGGATCTGGTAGCCCTCCCGGTGCTCCTGGCCATCCCCTGGCCCCATCCTGCCCCTCTGCCGAGACCCCCAGGGCAGGTTTGTAACACCGCAGTCACTCTGTTCCGTGGGAAAGGGCTAACGGGAAATTGAATTCATAAGGGTACGCGAGGCCAGCGGGTATTTCTGGCTTCTTCAGGCTCTGCAGCCCACGCTCAGCTCTGCTGCTTTTCCCTGACTGTGGTCAAGGAGTTGCAGCGTTGCAGAAAAATACTGGTGGTGTTTCTTGCCAAAAAAAACCACAGAATTGTCAAATTTTTTATTTTTTTTTTTTTTTTTAAAGCACCCCACAGAAGAATTATTTTCGTTACTTTTTAGGAGGTGGCAGGAAGGTGTTCAGGGGGTGTGATGGGGCTTTTGCGGCTGTGTCTTCTCACCTGTCTGTGCTACAGTGATGGCACCATCGAGCCGTAACGGCCCCTCGTCCCGTTGTGCCGCCGCCAACGAGCAGCCGCTGGTGGTTCCTCCCCGGCACAGGCTGTCGGTCCTGCTCTCAGCGCTCACTCCGCTCGGCCCCGTAACCGCGATGGGCTCTGGACCGGGCGTCCCGCGGGCATTTCTGTGAGTACACCATCTCTGGGAAAAGAGCACGACGCCGTGCCGGAGGAAGGGATTTGAGGCCAAGTTTCTGATGGTTTTCACATAAAACTGGTGGTTCATTCAGGGCCGAGCATCCAGCTGCTGAGTGAGTGTCCACTGCTTTTCGCAGCATCCCAACCCAAAGGTTTTACAAAGGCTTTCATGTGTAGAGACCTTCTCCCTCTCTACAGCTCCCTGACAGGAGGGGGGAGCGAGGGGGGGGCGGTCTCTGCTCCCACGGAACAGGCGATGGGACAAGAGGAAACGGCCTCAAGTTGCTCATGGGGAGGTTTAGGGTGGATATTGGGAAGAAGGTCTTCACGGAAAGGGTTGTCAAGCACAGGAACAGGCTGCCCAGGGCAGTGGTGGAGTCGCCATCCCTGGAGGGATTTAAAGGACAGTGGTGCTGAGCGACATGTGGTGGGTTTGGCAGTGTGAGGTTGATGGTAGGACTCGATGATCTTAAAGGTCCCTTTCAACCAAAACGATTCTATGATTCTGTGTGTGGTGACATCTTCACTTAATGTACATACAACCAGAAAATATGTCCCACAAATGCCACCAGACTTCTAAGTGAGATGAAGACCATTCCCTCGGTTTCCTCATCAGTTACAGCAGTTCAGGCTACTGATTTTCTTTTTGCTTAATTTAGGTGGATATCAAGTGTTTGAACTCTCCTACAACAGCCCCACTACTCTGGTCACTGTGGTGCATTAATTTAGAGGTTGTCTGGGTTTGTCTGCATGAGGGACAGACTGAGGATGGTTTGCCCAAAGTGGTTTTGTGGCCACCTCTCCGAGCACCACGTGGCCACCTTTTATCTGCGACGGGATGTCTCTGCAGGTCAGAAGTCCCCAGGCACTGTGGTGACAGGCACAGAATGAAAACTGAGGGCGGTAAACATCAGTGGAATAATTCAGGGTGGTCCACGAAGGCAGTGATGGGATGACATTTAGCAAAGGAAAGTTTCAGGGCGATACAGAGGAAAATGTCCTCACGTGGAGTTGTGTCAGCTACGGAAGATCTCTGGGGGGAGCGGAGGAGCCCCCGTGCCTGAGTCATTCCAAGTGGACAGGAAAAAAGCTATGGAAAATGTTCTGCCAGGAGCAGCCCTGCACTGGCAGGAGCTCATCAACCGTATGACCTCAATGGTATTTTCCATCTCCCAATTTATGTGACATGGAAAGTGATTTATTTCGGCCTACCACCACTTTACTACAATGAATAATGCCCAGCTGGCAAGTACCTGCTTTGAACTCTGAGTCCTTGGAGAAACCTGGTGGTCACAGAGGCACTAATTGAGGAGCTGTCGGGTCCACTGCAAGTGCAGCAGATTCTCCTTTGCTGGTGGGGTTGGTTGGGGGGTCACGCTCTCCGTCCTGCCCAAAGGTCCTTCTCAATGAAACCACTTATGGCTCCCTGGGAAATAATACTACCGAAAGCGTTAGTAGCACGTGGGCTGCCCTCTCTTGGCTTATGAGATCACTTTTTTTCCCCATACGGGTCAGCTGAGCAGCGTTTAATTGGCAGCAGGAAATGCAGCTGAAACATACCCCCGCGGCCGTATTTTGCGAATTCCCGCTCTTCTGCTCAAATCGCAGGGGATGCTGAGGGTGGGCGCGAGGGTAACGCTACGCCGCGCGGCGGTGGACGGGGCGCTGGCGTCTGTCTCCGGCAGAGGAAGCTCCTCAGGAACCCGGAGCTGACCCCGCTTGCTGAACACCACTTTTCATGAATCATTGGCTTTTATGGAAATCCGTTTCAGCATCCATTTCTGCAGCTGTTTCCTGTGTATGGGAAGCATTGTGCTGGCTGCAATATTTGTTTTAAGTTACCAGGACTGAGCGGTCATTTTAATCATCGTAAAGTTCTGAACAAAGAACCACATGTGCGTTTTGGGAAAAGTACACCCCCCCAAAAAAAAAAAGACTCATCAGCAACAGCTGAAAAGTGTCCGGAAAGAGGTCAGATGTGGAGAATGATTTATGGGTGCTGTGGGTGTAACCAAGTAGCAATATTGCCGCAGCGCTTTCACACGTCGGCCGTCGCCAACTTCATTATATTTGCTGATGTCTTTTTCGGGTTTGGTTTTTGCAGATTCCTTCTAAAAATAACAATAGCACCTCCTCTGAGGGTAATGGAAGCAGTTACTGGAGCTGGAATGAGACGGTAATTCATCGGATAAAACTGTACACGGGGAGCGTTTTGATTTTTGAGTCCTGTGCTATAAAACAAAAGGATGAAAAGTTGCTGCTGACGACCAGGCTTTTTCTATGAATTAGTATGTATAGAAATTCATAGCAACACTTTCCTCTGGCTGTCTTTGGGCAAGGATGTTACAAAGCTGCTGTGCATCCGTCTTACAAGGGAACCGTGCTTTGGCCGAAGGACGTCGTGGGGGCAGAGGAGCCGCCGGCACACTGCCGGACTCCGTGCGTGAGCTGCGGCGATGGGGCCGTGGGAATCCACGGGGTTGGGCAGGAGGTCTGCAGAACATCCTCTCGCCACCATCACAGCCCGATTCGCCTTCACGTAACAAGTGTTAAACCTACAGAAGCGACTGAATAACACCGTGAATAACGGGCGAGCAAAAGCCTCGGCAGGCTCCGGAAACGGAGGCGGTTGCGTTAAGGAGATGCGCAGGGTACAGAAACCAGACTATGGCACAGGACCCGGAAAGCCAAAGTCCCCAGCGATCCCCCTTAGCCTGACCCAGGGAAAACGATTCCTGGACCTTAAACCTCATGATTGCTGCAAGCCTGAGAGCGCGAGCAGGATGCGGAGCCCGGGCGCTGGCACGGCTCACCCAAAGCCCCGTCTCTCGCTGTGCACAACCTCAGGGTCTGGCTTGGGGACTTCCTTTAAAGTGACACATCGAGGGGGGGAAACTAATTTCTGGCCTTGTGGTCATCAGCAAAAGCATAATTAAGCAAGGTGCAATCCAATGCAGCAAGCAACGGTCGCGTCCCCTTTTCCCCACCCTCTCCCTTTGCCCTGTAGACAACTTGGACATACAGAAGACTTTGGTCCCATCGCTAAGACCAGCATCACACCTCCCTCGTTGCACAGTCCTGACCTCCAACCGCCCAAACGCCAGCCGAGGCCAGTCTGTGTCACAGGTAACGGGATGCAGATGGCCTGCTAACCCCCGTAAAACAGGAGGCTGACATCGGGTCGCTCTGCGCCTCGGGCTGCCTGGGATTCGGTGTGGCATTAGACAATTCTCATTGTCACCAAGTTCTCCTGCAATAGGACGTGTGTTCAAACACACCTTCACACGCACACACCTTGTTGGGCTGCCCGAATACTCTTTTATGTCACGCATTTTTTTATTGTCTTGGTAAAACTGCAGCTGACTTTCCCACTCGGTCTCCCTCCGTGTGTGCTCTCCGTCTCCGGTCGCTGCCGGGGGCTGAGCCGGGGATGACGGAGGGTTTCCCAGCCGCGGCGCTCTGCCCTTGAAGGGACATCCTGCTCTTTATTCATCTGCCATCGCTTCGGCTCGGCAGCCTCCAGGTCATCCAGCAAAGGGAGCTCATTTGCTGTAATTTTCATCAATTTTCTACAAGTTTTTCAGTCCCAGGCCTGGAGGAATGTGAGTTCAGTAAGATGAGTCAGGGCTAGGAAAGCAGCATCCCCCCACTTAAAAGGCGGGGGTTTGCTCTCCTCTTTCCACCTGACTTTATCTTTGCCTCTAGTAAATAAGTCTCTACACGTGGAGGGAGAGCCTGAGGAGCGCCGGCAGAGCGCGGTGGCGATGTCCGTGCCTGCCGCGTCGGTGGCCAGTACTTGTTCTTGGCTGCCGAGGACTGTCCGGGGCGGAGGGGAAGGGTGTTTGGTGCCGCTGTTGTGTTTGCAGCCCTGGTATCCCCGTCGTTAGCTGTGCCGTTGCCAGGGGAACCCAGGAGGAGTTATAAAACAAAAAACAGCCCCGAGCCGTCTCGTGTCAATTAATGTAATCAGACATATTTCCTCAAATAAGATCCATATGTCAGAGATAACATCTTTGTTTGTTGCTTGCGGTTTCCTTGATGGCAAACTACTGTGCTCTAATCCCTTAGTGTCTGACCGGTTTATAGAATTGTTGTGGATGAAAATACGAAATACCGAGAGCGTTTGCTCGGGGCCGGGCTCGCGCGGGGCTCCGTGCCCCCGGCCAGGCGGGGAGCAGAGGGAGGCAGGAGGATGCTCTGCGCCCGGAGAACACCTATTTTATTCTCTTAAAAGGGACACCTGCGATAGCCCCAGTCCTATACCCCCCCCCGAATTTGTTCTCTTTAATCAGCTGTTGGCCATATGGGGGTTGTCAGCCCAGGCGTCTTCTCGGCACTGGAGGAAGGTGCTTAAGGGTTTGTTTTTGTTTTTTTTCAGAGGTATTGTGGCATACAAAAGCCTACAGGCTTTGAACAAAACCTCAGCTCCTCTGCCTCCATCCCGCTTTAAAGTGGGACTTAATACTGGCAGCAAAAGTTGCCTAACTCCCACTTAAATGAAGACAAACCTGAAGGTCCTAAGGCATGTAGGTATTCTGGAAAGCTGCAGCGCTTCACTGAATGGACGTGTTTGAATCTGTGCAAGCCCTTAAGTAGATTCACTTGGTTTTTAGCTCCTTTTGCTCTCGATTTCCTCCCTGGATTGCCTATCAGCGCAGGGCACGTGCCACTCGGCTGCCCGGTTCCTGCCCTCCCTCCGTGGGATCAGCTCTCTGGTTTGGTGGACGTTTGCTGCAGCGGAGAAACCCGTTGTTAACGGGATTTGTAAGACCACGAAAACGCACAGGAGACGGGAGCACTTAGTTATTCTTTCCGTGATTGTTTTTCTCTTGGATATCGCCG